ACCTGTGAGCCGTGCTGTCCTATCCCTCGTTCTCCCAGGAGGTGGGCAGGTACTCTCAGCTCTTCTTCCGAAGCCCTCTAAGAGGTTGTAGTTACCACATCTCTGCTCTTGAAGGGGCAGTGAGTGAGAACTCTGTCTGGGAGTCTGAGTAGACAAAAGTGAGAGTAGATCTCAGGAGTGAGGAAGGAAGAGGACCCACAGGCAGGTCTGATTGAAGAGAGGTTCTGTGGGCAAAATCTTTTCACAAGTTTGAGAAAAAAAAATCCAGGCAAGGCTAGGATGGCCTGGCTTAGGGGAAGCTGTGCTGGGGCCCAAGGCACCTCTAGGAGCAAGGCGGGTGGACATCACACACGCACTTCTGTGTCTGTGCTTTGGGTTACTCCAAACATGCTATGACTTTGTTCCCACCAGCATGTAGACTGATATGGGGAAGAATGTCCTATAAACTTGCCTTGGGAATTCTGGGCCCCTTTGCTGGCTGAGTGGTGTTGTCATGGAGGGTTGCTACTGATGAGCCAGGGACACAATCGTTAGTATGAGCCTTGCAGCATTTGGACACACACACAGGCACACATATGTGCATGTGCCACATAATTTTACAGCATTGACATATTCCAGAAATCATCTCATAATGCAGTCTGATTTGCATTGAAGATCCTTTATTTACAGCATACAGTCAGCATATTCAGACTATACATGCTGATGCGTGCCATGATTTATTGCAGAGCATTCTTTAATGATTTTATAATAGCCATCCAAGAAAACTATAAAGTGGCTCTGCAGCATTTATAATGTTTATTTGAATATTTAATAGGGGTTTCTGGAAATCTATTTTATCCTGCATTACTCACACTGCTAGGTGACTTGTTGCTTTATTTGGAGGGCAGTGTACTTAGTAATCTTACTACACATAAAATAATTCTTCATAGAGGATATAGTTAAGCCTCAGCCAGGATGTCCTGAGGTGTGGGACTTGATATAAAGAGTATGGGGTGGGAATTTATATTGATAAAAGCATTTGATTCCTGAGACAAGCCACCAATCCTTCTAACTCACGGGTCTGAAAAGATTGCCTCTTCACGGTGCCCCAAAACACAGCACAAACTCACCGCTGATATGGGTCAAAGAGGCCCACTTTTATGAGATGATCTTCCTGGAGTTTGTTGAGAGCCAGATCAGCCTGGAGCCTGGGAAGAGGCAATAATCAGACAAAATTTGGGGTGTTGGGGCTGAAAAAGAAGGGGATTGTGCTTTCTCTGTTTTCTTTCTCTGTGATTTCATAATAGGAAAGATAAAATCCACAGGTCAATTGCAGGATGGAGCCATAAGGAGAAATCAGGGAACATGCTTATGGGCCTACTTATGTGTGTACAAAAGTGTCTCCACGGTGGAGCCTTAAAACAGTGCAAAGGCTGAGAACAGGTCACGGTGGGTCCTCACCCCTGCACTTGTGATTGCAAGACCCCACTCAGGCTCATGGTGCAGCAACAAAGGGGTTTATTAACAAAATGGAGACTGGGAAAAAAAAGAGTTTATTTTTTTTATTTTTAAAGATTTATATATTCATTTATTTATACAAGCACTGAGTACAGTCCGAAGGGCAGGTGGGTGAGAGAATTCACCAGAGACAGAGTGGGAAGAGAACAGGCAGACTGACGAAACACACTGCTGAGGGGAGCAGCGGGAGAGACAAGAGAGGTCTGTCGCACCATATGGGACCCTTGCAGGTGTCCGGGGATCGAACCAGCACTGCAGAGGCTGTGGGCAGCCTCGCATCCCAGCACTCAACCACTGTGACACCAGGGGAGACCCGAAAAAAAGAGTTTCTAAGGCCACAAGTGGCCAGCTGTCCTAGCCCACAGTGTCCACAGTGTCCAGCAGTCCAAACCAAAGGCTGCTTGTACAAGATGGCATCCCTTTGATGAGGGCCTGAAGCCAGTTGCACACCTGTAACTGGTGCACCAGGATCCAACTTGCTTTGACAACTGGAGGTAACCGCAGGGGGTGCTGCTGAAATGCTGCCACAGCAGCAAGCAGCACCTCTCTGGAGGCCGGGCTGGCCAATGACAGATGCCACAGTGGACAGTACCAGAGAGGATAGAGGAAGGTAGTGCTAGAGAATCCTAACAGCAGACCTCTCTCAGAGATACAGGTCAGTGTTGCTGGTTAGCACTGGTCAGCAGGCAATGGTGCCAGAGAACAGGCCCAGTATGACAGCCATTTGAGTGATGTTGGCATAATCCAACAGCAGACAGACCTTTTGGAGACACTGGGCACAGGTCAGTGTTACAATTCTACAGGTAATGCTAGGTTAGGGATGGGGGCAGGAGCAGCAGTAAGGATGCAGTTTGAAGTGGAGATCAGATGACAATGTCTGAGGAGGTCTGAGTGTTGATGAAGCTTCCCAGTGAATGTCTGGACCAGTTTATCCAGAAGTTCCCACTACCCATTCATCAGGTATCTGCAGGGACAGCAACAGCCAGGGTCAGAAGCTATTGCAATCTGGGAAATTCTGGCCATTTTGCCTCACTGACATCCAGTGCTCTTGCCAAGTAAGCATATTTATTTGTAAAGAGAGCAATGAAAACACCAGAGTTTGTGGAAGGTAAAGCATACCAGTTTTGGTCATCATAGACCTATGACTCACATTTTGGCCTTTTATAGCACAAACTTGTAGACAAATAAATCTCGAATGACAAGGCAGGAGTGAGAAGAGGTAGCACTGTGGTGCCTGGGAGCTTGAAGGAGACTGCAGTGACTCCTGATATGTGGACAGAGGTCAGAAAGGTCAGTGATCCCAAAGGGGGAAAGACTGGGAGTTAGGGGAGTTCATGGGACGCTCTGCTTAGGCCCAAAGGTGATGGGAGTGTCCTGGATGAACATAAGTTCCCCCGATAATAACCTTGACTTACAGCAAGAAAACAGCTGGCTCTTTGGACGAATAAGCACCCCAGCACCTGCTGGGGACAAAGCAGGCCTCTGCAGATTGCATCTTCGAGGTTCCAAGTCTAGAGGCTTCTCCTGCCCACAGTGATTACTTACAGGACCCTCTCCAACTATTACCGTCTTTCTCTAAAAAGGCGTATTTTGCCAAGGCCGTGCCAGGCCAATTTTAGACCTAGGGACCTGTAGGGACCAAGTGAGACTAGGCTGTCCTCGAGGACCCACCCACCCTGGTGGGCACATGCTGAAGTGTTGAGCAGATGATACGCGTCCATGAAGTGTTAGATCTTTGGCACTCTTTGTGACAATGTCATCGGGTATTGTATATGCAATTTTCTGATGGTTTGTTTTGACCTGGAAGATTAAGCAACTGCCAACAAACCCCGCTGTTGAGCATGCTGCTGAGAGAACACAGAGGATGCTGGGCTGGCCTTGTCTGGCTTCTGTAGGAATATAATGTGTTAATGTCGTTTTGCCGGGGACATTGGAAGATGTGCCTATTGACCCCCTGATCCGGGAGACTGGCTAGCACCCGGACCAGGAGCTAAAAAATAGGGCTGGTTATGTAACTGTTCACGATGTCCGGGTCCACCAAGAAATATGGCTGGTTATTTAACTCCGGGGCATCGTGCACAGAAACGTGACCAGCCCACCATGAATCTCTGGGTTTGGATAATTGCCAAATCCAACCTTGGGAGATAAAAACACAGTGGTCGCCTAGCTGTTGCTGCTTGCAGCTGCTGGACGTGGAAATGTCTCCCATGCTGTTCTCCGGAGTGCTGACTTTTTGTCTCCATGATGCTGTTTTCTGGAGTGCTGACTCTTTGCCTCCGTGATGCTGATTTCTAAAGAAACTGTACAGTATGTATGCATGATTATCAGTTTGGTCGCGTTTGGGGCACTGTTTATAATTTTGCTTGTGCATCGCCTGTGTTGCTCACAATAAATCTTTTTTCCTTTTAATACGGCGTGGTCATTAAATCCCACGGAATCGAGTCTCCCTCAAACACCTGTGCACAGGGCTAGCAATTATTTTTTATTGCTAGTTACAGGTTCGTATTGGATCTTACTTCAGTATTTTTAAGAAAAGAAAAGTGATTCTAAGTGTGCCCTAGCTGTGATGAGGAGATGGACAACTGTTCTGCAAACAAACGAATGAATGTTGCACACAACGTGTGCATGCTACACTTATTAAATAAATCCAATTCACTGACATGTATTTTTAATCCTAATATACAGTATGATCCTTTGGAACTCAACCATGTCCTAACTGATCTTTAAAACCCAAATAAATATACTGGCAAAGTTGATGCCAGCATATACAGTAACAAGCATCTGTTTCATGATGAGTGTATAGGTAACGTTATGCATATATAGCTGGGCTGTGCATCTTTCAGTTCTGGAATATAACTGATGCTCCCCTTTAGCATCTCAAAGTGAAGCACATGAGCCTCCTGTAACTGTCCTTTTCACCCCGCTGGCCCCCAAACCCTCCCACTGGTTAAGTCCAGGACTTCCCCTGCTCTTAGGTGTTTCCAAAGACTCCAGGGCCAGAGCACCATCCTGTCCGGCTGGGTCAGAGAATATCAATGCCCAACAGCAGGTGCTCTGAAGACCTGGAAAAATTACTCACCACTCACTGCCCTGCCAAGACACAGACAGCACTCAGAGACCCTCTGGGGCCCACAGAGGCCACTGCTGCTGCTACTGCTGTCATGATGCTCCCCACCCAATCTGGAGGCCCTCTTGCTGGCATCCTCCAACCACCAGGATGCCCTCTTCCTGGCATCCTCCTACACCAGGTGCAGGCTGTCTGGGGGCTCCGGCTTAGGCTGTCTGAGGAGGTCTTTGGCACGACTTACAGCCAGATGAGTGGCCTGGCCTCCCCGGAGTCTGTAGCAGCCTGCCTTGTTCAGCAGGCCCAGGCCCAGACTCAGACCCCAGGCCCAGACTCATACCCAGATGTACTGTTGACCCTTTGCCCTTGGGATAGTTCTGTGGCTACCATGTTTCCTATCTTTCTAACCTCACCAGGATACTTTTTTTTTTTATTTCAGGGACCTTAATCTCGTCTGTGCATGGACTTGCACAAGGTAATAATCCACGGCCATCGGGGCCTCCCCAGAACAGAGGTCACTCGGAATCTCAGGGAAGAAGTGTAGGGTGCCTGTTGCTCTTCCCTTTCCTAGAGCCCCTGGGCTCTACACGCTATGCCCACTGTTGCCAGGCAAACTGCCAGCTTGGCAAGGACATCTCTGCATGACAGAGAATAAATCAGGTTCCTGACTTAGCAGGTTACCACACTTTATTTAAAATTAGGATCAGTCTATTTTATTTTACATTTCATTTTGTTTTGTTTTACTCATTTATTTTTTGGCTATTTATTTTCTCAACAATGTTTTTCATGGCATTTGAAAAGACAACTGGAATAAAACGATGTATCTTTTTCAATTCTACAGCCCAGGAAATTGAACAGAGAGAGGTTCAATTTCACCCTTGCTCCTGCAGGGGGCAGACACTGCGCGGACCTGGAACAGAGACCCTACCCCCTGGGGCCCATCTAGGGTGGAGTATGGCCCTCCAGCCACTGCCGGTACTTATCTGGACACATCTTGCCATTTAGTGTATGCATATGTGCCCAGCTTTACTCACTGGGGCCTGGAGGTGACAGTAGGAGCCATGGCATTTACTCAATGACCCTGGCCATCCCATCAGCTCCCACTGGATGCACTGATCACACTGCAGGTAGAAGTGCTCATGAGCTGAAGTCTACTGGATAAATGTGAACTGCAGTTAACAGTTGTTATTACTGGTCATACCTGGGAGAGGTCAGTACAGTCTCGTCAAGTGTTGGCCCTTGAGATAGCAGACAGATTTAAGACATAGAAACACGCTTGATTTTGGGGAGGTGTAGAGCCCAGGCTTCCCAGTACCATTCCCTGTTTCCTGGGTACATTATGCAAATGTTCCCTCTTAATTTCTAATGGAAAAGTCAGATTATTAACCATCCTCACCTCACCACCACAGTCGTTAACATTTTCCATGTGCTCATTTTGATCTGCACATTCTGTTACTCATTGCCTCTCATCTGGGATGGGACTATTGTTATCTTACCTCTGTTAGTCAGATGAAATAACTGAGAGGTGAAACACTTTGCTCAAGGTTAAAAGGGAGAATGCATGCCTCCCTGGTGGTGCAGGGGTTAAAGACAGTGCTATCAAGCTATTGCCAGCCACTACAGCACAAGTTCGATCCCCAGCTCACCCGGGAGAAACCCACATGGTGCAGCAGACTGCTCCTGTCTCGCTTGCTGCTCCTCAGCAGTGTATTTCAATAGATCTGCCTGTTGTGCTCTCTACTCTCTGGTGAATCCTTTCACCCCCCCCCACCTCTGGTCTGTACCCCAGTTCTTGAATGCATAAATAAATAAATCTTAAAAAAATAAAAGGGAGAATGCACACAGAAGGTGGGGCTTGGGTGTGTATGGCACCCAGGAAGGGCCAAACTCATTTGCCAGTTCTGCTGGAGTCATGGTCAGAAGAGGAGCTGTCACCTATGGGAGGTGGGAGGGATGCAGGCAGGAGGCTCACAATCATGTAGTGACCCAACAAGAGTCACTGTCCCCAGCCTCCTGCCTTATGACTTGTACTGCTTTCTTTCTCAGGTGTGACACATATATATACACACCACACTTGCACCACACCACACAGGCCACACATATATACACGCAATGTACATGCACACATACCACACAAAACCCCAACACCTTCATACTACATATTACGCACAGTACACACACACCACATATACACACACGCACGCACACACACACACACACACACACACGCCCCTCAAGCATCAGCTGACCAAGTTGGACTCATGTGCTTCTCCTCTACACATCTTGAAGTCCTGTCTTCTTCCTTCCTACAGACCTTACCACCTGGCAATAGATTGTAAGACCCTGAGAATTGTTACCGTTCTGTGTGCATCTCACAGACCCATAAATAACACAACTCTTCCCAGAGGAGATAGCTGCAGTGATTTTAACTTAATTAGCACATGCTTGGGTGAACAATAAAGAGGATATAGGCTGAATTCCGTGCATTTATTCATGGTTAACCAGCCCACTGAGCTGTTGATCAGCCTCTGTTGTTGTTTGCAAAATGGTAGTAGTTTCTCTAGAAGATATGACCAGAAAAACAATGATAGAACATATTTGCAGATTACTTAGCAAATACAACTTTAGGAGAATTGCTTTCGGCAATATGAGGGGAGGTATGAAATACATTGCAATGGAAACTGAAGGAAAGTAAAAATAATTTAGGCCAGTCATGTAAAGATAGACTCTTCTTTCGGAGGAAAGATAAAGTCATCCCAATAATATAACTTTCCCACTTAAGGAAATGTTTTCTTCTTTCCCTTTTCTTCCCTGCTGTGCTGAGTCAGGCACTGGAACACAGCAGGACAAGTGTCGTGAACCACCATGGGGCACAGACACAGATAAGACAGGATGCCTCAGCTCCTCCTTTGGCCACACAGTAGAAAACTACTGATGTGTTTTCCATCTCTATAATTTTGTTATTTCAAGAATATTATATCCATTAAATAATATAGTTTGTAAAATGCAGAGATTATATTTTTCAACTTAGCACAATTCCCTTGAAATTCAAGTAATGTGTGGCAATAGCTTCTTGTTTTTTTGAATGGGCTGAATTCTATGATATGGATGTATCACAGTTCTTTAATCATTTATCTTTGAAGATCAGTTGGGTACTTTCTAGTTTGGGCTTTTTATAAACAAAGATGTCAAGTTGTTTTGTTTAATTTCCTTTGAGACTTTCTCTTTGACCCCAGGATTACTTAGGAGTATATTGCTTAAATTCCATGTTAGAAGATATCATGCTATCTTTCTTTGATAGATTTCTAGTAGTTTCTTTAGAAGATATGACTGTTCTGATTGGAAAATATATTGTACATAGTTTCAGTACTTTCAAGTTTGTTAAGGTTTGTTTTATGACCTGTAATTTGTTACGTTATTGATAAAACTTCTATGCACATTTTGTTTAAATGTTATACGTTTTTCTATGTGAAAATAAACTTTCTTTGGGGAAAATGTCATGATCGTGGGCACTTAAATGGATTGTAGATTCTCCTTTTTTACTTGGAATTTTCTCTAAACATCTATTAGATCCTATTGTGAAATGTTATTGTCATGTCTGATTTTGTTCTAATAGTTCTGGTAATTGCTGAAGAAAGATAATTAAAATCCTCAACTATACTTATGCATTAATCTATTTAGTATTCCTTTTAGCTCTGGCAGTTTTTGCTTCATACATTTTGAAACTTTGTTGTTTGGTGCACACACTTCTATATTTCTTCTAAGTCCTGCTGCTACTCTTCTCTTATCCTATGCCTCTGGCCAGACAAAGCTTGTGTTTTTAATTTGTTTGTTGGGTGGTTGGTTCTAGATTGTGGACCTTTCTGGAGCATGTTCTTGGATGTATGAGAAATAAAAAGAAAACCCAGGGAAGCCACCACAGCACGTCTCTTCAAATGGTAAGTGCCTTGTTCTTTCCCACCCTCTCAGAGTCCTATTGAGATTATCTGTTAGATTATTTCTAGGAGTTATCACTAAGTTTGCAGGGAAAGGTTTTTATTTTTGTCTCTGAACCAACAAAATCTTATATTTAAATATTTTATTTTATTTTCACCAATGATAGAAACTAAGTAATAAAATAGTACTTTAAAATAATGAAATGAGAAATGAAATTATTTTGACTTCTTTCTCCAAGGCCCATAGGGAAGGTGGGGGATGCTTTCCTCTTACCCAACCAAGCAGGAACACCATGATAAAGGGAGAGTCACAGGCCCATGAGGCAGATAAACAAATGTCCTGACTCCTTGGCTGGAAATTAGCTTAGACATAATACCTATTGTATCCATTTGTTTTTATGGGTAGGAATGTTTTGTTGATTTTGTAGAATGAGATCTTCAAGAGTTAGGTATTAGCAAGAACATGTAATACATTATCTCCTGGATTTCTGCTCTGGCAGGTGGCCCTACTCTCCCTGTTTCAATTGTATAAAATGCCAATTCTGATTGTTTTTCAGTGTCATTGTCCCCACTTCATAGAGGAGTCAACAGACTTTTAAATATTACATAATTTGCTATGATCTTACTGGTGGGATGTGACAAAGTGATACATTAGACTCAGATCTTTTCAGCTCTGAAGCATGTAGGACAACTCCTATTTAAGACACTGGATAATCACAATAAGCACATCCCTGTGTTGTTCATGTTCTTATGAAGCTTGTAGTGGGTGAGAGAGACTTCAGTAGGATACTCACAAATACGCAAGACAATAAGTATCTGATCACAAAATGAGACAAGTGCTTCAAAGTACATGAAAGTGGTTCTAGGTAAGGAGGGGATCTGGTTTTGGGTCAGATCCCCTGCTGATATGAAGAATGAAAGAATAATGGGGTGAGACAAGAAAGGGAAGAAGGCAGACTCCAGGTAGTGGGAAACTCCAGTTGAAACTCAAACTCCTAGGAGGTGAAGAAGCCCAAGCCTTCTGGTTCAGGGATTGGGCCAGGAGACACGGGAAGCTGAGTTACCAAAAGTAGAAAAGTGGCGTGCTGAAAGGAAATGTTAAGAGTTTTATAGGCACCACACACAAGTCCAAGATAAGAATTTTAGTCTTCACATTAAGTATTAGGTGTCTTCTTTCAATTCTGTAATTGAGACCTTGGATCCACCAACTCACTGCAGTATTTTTTCAGGTAAGTAAGAGGTACATATCAGGGGCTCAGTATTCATATAGATTAAAAACAAAAACAAAAAACAAAAAAAAAAAAAGAAGGGACTCTCAAAAAGGCCAGACAGACCTGGTTCAGCACTTGTTAACCATGAAACTGGGTACATTTAGCTACCTCTAGACCTTTCAGTCTCCTTACTTCACCACAGCAAGAATAGTGCCAGCTTTCTATGTTTGTGATGAGGAGTGAATCAGCAAGTGTGGTGCCCACTCATCTGACCTGTAGCACATGTGAATACATGACCATAACAGGAATAGCGTGTGGTCATTACTTCCCCCTTCACTGTTCCTCAATAAGGTTTGTTTCCTTTGGATGATTGTTGCCCAGAGGGATGGTCTCACCTCTGGCTTTTGGAGACCTAGTGTGTGCCCTTCTAAACAGCTGGGGTTGCAATGGTTAAATTGGAATTGAAAAGCACTCTCCTTGCCTTATAAATCAGAGAGGAATGTCTGAGCAATTTCCTCTGCCTCTGTCCTCATTAAATGAAAACAAACTTCCCTCTAGAGGGGTCACTCTCTCC